GCAAACTATACTACAAAGCTACAGTAATCAAAACAGCATGGTACGGGCATAAAAACAGATACATTGAATAATGGAACAGAACAGAGAGCCCAGAAATAAATCCAGACATATACGCTCACGTAATATATGATGAAGGAGGTAAGAATATACAATGGGGTGAAGACAGTCTCTTTAATTAATGGTGTTGGGTGTGGCTTTTTTGAAAAAAAAAAAAAAAGAAGAAGAAGAAGAAGCTGGACCACCTTCTTACACCATATACAAGAATAGACTCAAAATGGATTAAAGACTTAAATGTAAGACCCAAAACCATAAAAATTCTAAAAGAAAACATGGGTAGTAATCTCTCTGATATTGCTAACAGAAATTTCTCTTCAGATATATCTCCCCAGGCAAGGAAAACAAAAGAAAAAATAAACAAATGGGACTACATCAAACTAAAAAGTTTTTGTACAGCAAAGGAAACCATCAACAACAAAAAAGACAACCGACTAATTGGGAGAAGATATTCGCTAATGATATATTTGATAAGGGGTTAATATCCAAAACATATAAAGAACTCATACAACTTAACAACAAAACAACACAAACGATCCAATTAAAAAATGGGCAGAAGACCTGAACAGATACTTCTCCAAAGAGTAAATACAGATGGCCAACACACACATGCAAAGATGTTCAAGGTCACCAGTCATCAGAGAAATACAAGTTGAAACCACAATGAGATATCACCACACACCTGTCAGAATGGCTATCATCAATAAATCAAAGAACAAGTGATTGCGAGGATGCGGAGAAAAGAGAACCCTCATACACTGTTGGTGGGATTGCAAATTGGTACAGCTGCTGTGGAAAACAGAATGAGGTTTCTCAAAAAATTAAAATGGATATACTTTTTGACCCAGCAATTGCACTTCTGGGTATTTATCCAAAGAAATCCAAAATAATAATTCATAAAGATCCATGCACCACAATATTCGTGGCAACACAATTTACAATAGCCAAGATATGGAAGCAACCTAAAAGCCCATCAACAGATGATTGGATAAAGATGTGGTACATATGTACAATGGAATATTACTCAGCCATAAAAACACTTGCCATGTGCAACTACATGGATGGACCTAGAAGGTATTATTGCTAAGTGAAGGAAAAGACAGAAAGAAAAATAACATATGATTTCACTTATTGTGGAATCTAAGGAACAAAATAAATGAACAAAATGAAAACAGACTTAAAAACACAGAGCACTATGGTTTGGCTGGGTGAAAAAGGTGAAAGGATTAAGAAGTACATATTGGTAGTTGCAAAATAGTCACAGGGATGTGAAGTGCAACATAGAGAATACAGTCAATAATAATGTAATAACTATGTATAGCGACAGGTGGGTACTAGACTAATCAGGGGGATCACTTTGTAAATTCTATGTCTAACCACTATGCTGTACATCTGAAACTAATATAAAAGAATACTGAACATCAACTTTAATTGAAAAAAAAAATAGCAAAAATAATAAAGCAAAACTATCATATTAAAAGAATGGAAAAAATTATACAGCAATTTTAAAGCAGGTTCATATGTCTATGAATTCAGTATAAGAGCAAATTTATTCTCTCCCTATTTACAGAAATAAAAGTTATATGGCTTAAGCCTTACAAAAATGAAATTAATGTAAAAGACCATGAGATAATTGCACTATAGGATGTTATAGTTTTTAAAAATATATTATTAGGCATCACTTTTTCAAGTTTAACTGTAACAAAATTTTATTTTGAGGTTTCTTTTTTAAGATGGAAAGTATTACATGTCTGTACGCTACTGAGAAAGATACAGAAGGGGCAAGGGGAGAATAATGGTGTGGGAGGACTGAAGAAAATTAGAGTAGGAAAACCTTTAGGTAGGTCAGACAAAACTTATAATTTTACTTCCCACAAGAGTTACATATGTACATGATTTAATGGCTGAATGTCACCTGTATGTTCATGCCTACAATTTTTTTTTTAACTTTTTAAAAATTAAGTTCATTGGGGTAACACAGGTTAATGCAATTATATAATTTTCAGGTGTACAATTTGACATCTGTGTATCCTATTGTGATTACCACCTAAAGCCGTTTCCTTCAGCTACCATATATTTGATCCCCTTTACCCACTTACCCTCCCCCTAACCCCCTATATTTGACCCCCTTTAACCGTCTACTTCTCCTCTCCGACTCCCTACCTTCTGGTAACCACTAGTCTATAGTCCATGTCCCTAAGTCTCTGTTTGTCCTGTTCATTTGTTGCTTTTAGGTTTATATCCCACATATAAGTGATATCATGTGATTTTCAACTTTTTCAGTCTGGCTT